TTTTTTTTTTTTGTACTAAAACTTTTTTTTTATTCGCACGCGCGCATCAGTTTTGGGGCTCCCGGAGGATGTCATCCATATAATCAAATCAACATGGCCTTTCCAAAAAAAAAAAGATTATGGCTCTGAATCAACTGAAAAATGCTCATATGTTGCCCCCAACAGTTGAGGAAAGTCCTTTTCTTCTTAGTTGTTACAGTTTTCCCATGTATCAATGCATTGGTTTGATTAAAAGTTCAAAATTATTCATTGTTTAAATATTAACCCAGCCTTTTGTGTTGACTTCTTGGCTCATTTTGTAGCATTTAAGTCTATAATAGGATGCATGCCTGACCTTTTGTTTATTTTTTTCACCCTGTCGCTTCATATTTTTTCTGAAAAAAATCTGAGTACCAACAAATTAAATTGGTGTGGCCTAAGCTATGCTTAGTGGGGAATATAGACTCCATTTTTCCATCCTATATTGTTGTACAGAGCAAATATTTCATCCAAGTAACATTTTGTTTTGCAGGTTTCTTCCTATTGCAGAGAGGCACTGTTGACCTGCATGTCAATCATCCACCCCAGGGCACCAACCCTCCAATCACCAGTCATCATTTCTGACACGCCCACTATCTCAAAACCTTCAACCAATCACCAGGCACCAAGCTTCCAGGTGCTGAGATCCAATGCCACACAGAAAAATGACTCCACCAATGGAAACTTGTTTACCGCTCCGTCTTTCAAAGCAGCCAGCCAATCAGAGGGCATGGTGAAAGACTGTCCTAGCCAATCAGAGTCCACTTCTCCTAAAAGTATCCAGATGGAACGTTCTGGAACTTTTTCAGAAAAGTTGACAAGAGAAGAAGACAAGGCAGGGCCCAGTGTTATCCGTTTAGATGGGAGCAGTAATAGCAGTGAAGGAGAAGAAAGTTCTTCTGGAGACAGTGTAGAACTTCTTGAAGACATCCAGAGCAGCAAACAAGACAGTTCAACACTGGAGACAAGGGACCTCAATGATGGAGTCAGCAACACAGAAAAGAAGCTGGCTACAGACATGGAAACAGTGCCTGAAAATGAAGATGTGGTCTTAATACAGGTGACTTGCATATTTTACAAGCAAAAGATTTCATTCTTTACCACGTACCAAAGATGTGTATTTTGGAGGTACAATGTACTGTAAATCTTTAAATTTTTGCGGTAAATTTATTTGCGCTTATTTGGGGGATGAAATCTTCCCCATGACGTGAATATATGTATCTGGTGTATTTGTACTGCATTACAAAATTGTTTCAACGGCGGACTTAAAACACCTCCTTTCCCCTTCTACTGTGAAATTAAGACTGTGGTGACAATTTTACAGTACATGTATATGCACATGTATATGCACATGGTATGAATGGCTAATTTTCTCAATGTATCTTCTACCAGGTATCATATATACATTTATACCATACCCGGGCCGCGATAACGTTCGATAACGGGTTCCGGACCGGGCCGTACGTTACGGTACAGCCCGGTCCGGAACCCGTTATCGAACGTTACATAGAACGATTCGAACGATCAGAACTCGCTTCGCCTGCGCCGCTACATTTTTCGAATAAAGGGTTCTCGAACCACTTGTCGTTTGTTTTTCATGATGGCGGCATCTGACAGAGCTATTGTGTTTCAAGATTATGACTATACTGAAAGCTCGAGTTACATTGACCAGCAAAAAAACTACAACACCAAGAAGAAGACGGCAAGCGACGCAAGGCAGTTCGTCTTGTGGTTGGAGGCCCACGGCGACAAAAGGCGCCTTGAAGATATTCTTCCGGAAGAGCTGGACGGACTGCTAGGAAGTTTTTTCCTGGGCATAAAGAAAGACAGCGGTGAAGATTATGAGCCGGACAGTTTGACTTCAAAGCAGCGGTCAATTGCGCGATACCTGAAAGAAAAAGGATATCCTGTAGATATCATTTCTGACCGTAAATTCGCCCACTCCCGTGAATGCCTGCTGGCGAAAAGGAAGAGTCTGAAGAAAGACGGAAAGGGCAACCGGCCAAATCGCGCAGACCCGCTGAGCCAAGCCGAAATCAAGCTCCTAGAGAAGAAGCAACTCATCGGGCCCCAGAATCCAGACAGCCTTATTGCCGGACTGTGGCTCAACAACACTCGGCTGTTTGGGATGCGGTCAAGACAGGAGCACTGTAGTATGCTGTGGGGCGACGTTGAGGAAACGGTGGACAGTCAAGGCCGAGCTGTTCTGGAGTATAGCGAGAGAGCCACCAAGACTAGAACAGGTGCGACCTCCGACACCCGACCATTTCGACCACGGGCCTACGCATGCCCGGAGCGCCCATCTGTCTGCCCCGTTAACTTGTACAGGGAGTACAGAAAGCGCCGACCCATGACGCAGATGCACCCAACAGCACCGTTCTACCTCGGCATTAACCAGGCGCGCAAATGTGATGCTGAAGTGTGGTTCATCAACTCCCCGATGGGAAAGAACAAAATCGGAAACATAATGTCTACTATGGCCGGGAAAGGGGGATTGTCTGGCAGAAAAGTCAACCATAGCGCCAGGAAGACTATGATGCAGTGCAGACTCTTGTTGCCGCGGATCTCCCCCCTACACGAATCGTACAACTGTCTGGACACAAAAATCTCCAGTCAGTCAACTCGTACTCCTGTGCCACCGAGGAGCAGCAAAAGGAAATGAGCGACATCATCATGGGGAAAGAGGGGTCAGCATCGCATGCATCCGCGCCTGTGTGCCTATGTCAACAACAGCAGCTGCAGTGCCAACAGAAGCCAAGCGTTCAGATCTCTTTTGCTGGCGCCACGATTCAGGGAGGCACCTGGAACTTTGGCGGATCAAGCTGTTCAGCATGACTGTTTGTTTGAATCGCATCAAAACGCCTGTAAAATCGAATTCCGAACGCTGTTCTTTTTTGCTGTTCTTTTTCCCGAATTGAATAAAGTCGTTACCGCTACGTGCATAATCACAAGACTTTTGTCTCTTTTTAGCAAAATAACTTGTGTTTTCTAGGGTGGGTATGGTATAAATAAAATACAACACGGTGTATTCCGCATCGCCCTCGGTCTCGGCCCTCCCGCGAGTCGGATCGCCCTCGGCCTGCGGCCTCGGGCGATCCGACTTGCGGTCGGGCCGATACCTCGGGCGATACGGAATACCCCGTGTTGTATTCTATATGTACAGTAGTATAGTGCACATATAAACATTGTGCAATGAAATGTCTGCAATACATACTTATCTTAGCTATTTTTCCTAAAAAGCCCGAGGTCTGATATGTTGCATGATTGTAACTTCTTTTTTAGGGCTGTACCAGTGCAGGAAGAGCTGTAGTTCCTGCTGACACAACAGATATCCCCACTGCTGGAGGTGTGAAGAGGAAACATGAGAGTGATGTGGAGGGAGAGGAGGATGACAGCCAGGTACTACAGTTTCAGTACTGTCATGGAAAAATCCAATAGACTGGTATCCATCCTCGTCTAGTTTCAGCCTGCATCCCTGACTGCTTTCCTGTTAAATAGTATGGCATGAGAAGGATGGATACCAGACTAACTATAGCCTGAAGTCCAGCCCTTGTTAGCTTTCGTCTGCTCCTAGTAAGATCCACTAACCCGCTTGTTGGCAGCTGACCACTGCATATCTGATGCAATGAGTATATTTGGCAATGCATGATGGATTGTCGTAAATTAGAGCTAGTTTGAGTATGTAACAGAGATTTGTTCATAGGATAACAAAGATTTCTTCATAGGATATCATTTTACACGACATTGCTTCTGCCATAATGTGATGATAGAATTCAACTGTGCATATTTTTTTTTACTGTCCATATTTTTCCCACCAGCTAAACCTCTGCCTTTTCTCAATGTTTGATCATGATCTATGTAAAATCCTTTTCTTATTTTGTTTTCCATTCCATTCCAGGACACAGATATCCAGGCTATGTTGGCTTCCTTTGTACCAGACTCAACTCCAGATGAAAACTGACATTGTCACTTGTCGGAGGGAATATTAATACATACATGTATTTTAGGATCTAACAGTCTGCCAATGAAGACATATTTTTGTAATGTTGTATCGCTAATGTGCAATCTAATGTGCATAGAAGCTACCATATTTTAGATTTGACCAAGGAATGGCTTGAAAGAAATTTCATTGTCATATTACTGCAAGGTATTTGCAACCTACCATTGGTGAAGCAACGTAACTTTATTAGAATGTAACAATAGTTTCCGATATGTTTTCAGATTTATGTTGCGTTCAAATGTTTTATAATTTCATGTTAATTCAATGTCATATGGAATTGAATATACTCTTTCTGGTAGATGTCTAAGCTAAACAAATACATTGTATCTCTCTAATTGAGCAAAAGGGAGCATGTTGATTATAAGGCATTTCCATTAAAGACCAAATGACACCAAAAAAAATCTGTAAAGTACATACAATATACAAAAGTATACATACAATATAGTCACTTGAAGTTTGTTTCAATCATGTTGACTGAGAATTTGAGTTTGTTCGGGCATCCAAAAGTGCATTTTGGAGATGCTCTGGCAAGCTTCCCAATCACCGGTCTCGGGCATCTCTTTTTGCATGTCTATGTTTTATTTTTCCATTCCTGTGCTTTTTTCTGAGCTGACATCACAGGGTGACATCAGCTCTGGAAGAAATACAGATATGCAAAAATAAAACCCAGAGATGCAAATAGTGTTTGCCAGGACTGGCTTGTGATGACTTTTCTAAGATGGGCATTAGAGTTTCGAATGTAATAGAACTGTGCATGTTTATTGTAAATGTGTCTATCATCTACAATCAGATAAGGCCGTATTTTGGTGTCATGAGCACTTTAAAACATGAGCCCTGTATGGTAGTGCCTGAGTGTTTTTGCCCCTCCACTCTTCAACCTTATATACTGGCAATATGTGTAAGGTAAAGGTCATGTTAAAGGCATCAAATTACCACATAAAAAATAAAAAGTGACTTTGAAAACTAGTTTTACTACCCTGCAATTGTTTAAGGAGCCTTTAACTGTAAGATATCCAGTTATGCTATGTACATGTAAGTTGAGAAGGATTGCTCAAGTAACACTACCACAAGAACTTCAAGAAGTGTAGTCAGAATAATTTTTTACTTGGATCAGAACTGTAATATGTAAGCAAAGCCCTTAACCATCGCAAAGCTCCAACCAACCTGCTTCAATGGCACACAGTCAAGGAAACAAAGCCAAAGTATACCCAGTTCACACTGTAACGTAAAAACTAAAATTGTTACATTGAACATAATAAAAACATGCACCAGGAGCAGGCTTGTTAAAATTGCACATTAAACTGCAATATACAATACATTTGCTGCAAAACCAGCACTCTTGTAAAATGTAACAAGAAATCTCAGGACAACTTTGGTTATATACATGCAAAAACATGCTCCAAATCAAAAACTAAATACGGGGGCTTCATAGCAACACTGATATATAAGAGACAGGTTTATAAGATACACAACTTATTTTTAAAACACACAACTTATTTCCTGAAGAGAAATAATTTTCTCTTAATCTTGCATATAAAATTACCTCAACATACAGATATTTTTCATTATATCATAACTTCTGGTGTGCTAACAGCTTATACATGTACATGAGTAATGGCAAAGAGCACCAAATGAATGCTAGAGAATTCTTAGCACTGAATAATATCAAAGAACAAATGTCCTTGTCTAACCTAAACAAATTTCACCATTCCTCTACATGTTATCATGAAACTGTTCAAGAAGAATGAACATGATATAAGATTCTTATTCACAGATCAACTGCTGATAACTCTTCATATTGATTATCATAAATTACAGGTAAAAAGCTTCACAATAGAAACATCAAGTTCAAAACTCCCCACAAGATTGAATTCTGACCTCAACAACAAATTTGTAAGGCCACACCAATTTAATTCGTTGGTTCTAGGATTTTTTTCAGAAAAAATGTGACATGACAGGATGAAAAAAAATAAAAACAGGCCTAGGCATCCTATTATAGCCCCAAATGCTACAACAGGAGCCATGAAGTCAACACAAAAGGCTAGGTTAATATTTAAACAATGAATTTTGAACTTTTCATCAAACCACTGCATTGATAGATGGAAAAACTGTAACAACTAGTTACTAGGAAGGAAAGGACTTTCTTCAACTTATGGGGGCGAAATATGAGCATATTTGAGTTGAACCAAGAAATTAAATTGGTGTGGCCTGAGATGGGAAAAGGCATAAACAACAGGAAGTTTAAACTTTTCATTCAGGATAAACCATTTAGGCATTGAAGAAGCCTGTTAATATAAAAGAGGAGCAAACTTTTTCTTATCAAATAAACACAATGTTTTTTGTCCTTCGGCAGATGCTTTTGAAACTTTGCTGTGTAATGTTTTGTTTTTTTGCTGCACATTATGTTTTTTATTCTTGTCAACAAAACCTAACCACTCTTTCTGGTCCATCTGTCCATAGCCCTGTCCTTTTTCTATACAAATTTGACATCAACAATCAGTTTAAAACCAAACATGACTGCCATCCAACTGAATTTTTCACATCCTATACACAAACATATAATATATAACTGTGTGTAAATCGTGTGAACGTACATATAATATATAATCAAACCTCTAACAGTGTAAAGAAGATAACCAGCTCTATACAATATACAGTGTCTAAAAATCAGGAAGAAATTGAGCAGATACCATAAAATAACATGGTAAATGCATGTCCAAAGTACATGTCTAACTACAACATTTGAATTCTTGACAAACGATGCATACTTCACACTTAGTTTTTCCTGAAGAATTAATGTATATATGATATTATATATACATATAAAATGGAAACCTGCTTGAAGAATTTATTCAACAAATGGTCATGAATGTGGCAGTGGTGAAGCAAAATTGTAGTACCTGGTATATATTACTTAAGAAAACGCTGCTTTGGGTTCTTACGGGCAAAGTTTTACCAAGAAATCTATAAGAAATTGGCCTTGTTTGAACCATGTTTGGTATAAAACTAGGATTAGAATTAAAAGTAGTCAAGATAGACCATTAGATGCTCAATCCTTAGTACATTTGCAAACATATATATGTGATTAAAAACCATTCAACAAGATTTTGCATATAAACCGATATAGTGCTTAGATTGTACACATTACATAATAATCTCTCAACCACACAAACTGTTGAATCTCGAAAAACTTAGTTTGCTGCACTCTGAGTTCTCTTTCTACATCCCCTCAACATATACTCGTCAATGGTTCCCTTCCTCCGGTTGGGTTCGATCTCACGTTTGGCTTCCAGGTCAAACTGTTTCTGCAGTCTTAGAGCCAACATGTGGTCCTCTTCTTCAGGGCTAAGCCTGTGTCCATTGTCACCGTTGTGGTCACCAGCGTTGTCGGGCTCAGTGTGCTTTGTCTTACAGGTACGTTTTCCCGAAGGTTTTGCTGAAGTATCTTCTGTGTTTTGCTGTGTGGTGGACGGCCCTTTCTTCTTATTTCTCTGCCTACTCGAAGCTTTCCTCTTTCTTGGGGTACCCCTTGACGAAGACACTTCGCTATCTTTGTCAGAATCATCCTGTGTGGCATGTTCTGTGGAACCGTTTCCGTTCGTGACCTTGGTTTTCAGTAGCCCTTCTGGGACGGACTGGGGAGGGCTGGGCTCAAAGTAAGAGTCGATCTTCTTACTCCCACTTGGTTTCCTTTGAGGTTTGGACTGCTTCTGCTTTACCTTTCCTTTGTTCGGTGCATTCGTTGACTGCGAAGGTCCCTCTTCCTTCACACTACCATTACTGTGTACGTTTCCTTCTTCTAGTGAGCTGTCTTCCACAACTCTGACTCTTTTCCTTGGAGACTCACTTTCGATATAAGTACTGTCACTGTCGGAGTCCAAGGTATCAGGCACCTCAAATTGATTAGCTGTCATCTTTGTGTCTGCAATGTTTTCCTCAAAGGCACTTGCTGGCTCACGTTTCGCATTTCGCGGCCGGTTTTTCGTCTTTCGTTTGGGACTGGACTCGGCGCCGGCGGTGCAGGTTGCTCGGGACTTCATGTGAGTTTCTTGGGCCGCGTTACGCTCCTCCATCACCCTTAACCACCGCTGCAGCACTTTCGAGCTTCCTTCAAGTTCGTACGACGTGTCCTTACCGAAGTCCGCCCCGTTGAGATTCCTCGGCGTGCTTCGCACAATCACCGGGGAGAGCGACCGGCCGTCCGCGTCCTTCTTGGGCGGCGTACGAGGAGAGGAGTGGATGGGCTTAAAGTGGTTGAGCTCCTCCGTAATGCTGTCTCTACTCTCCACACTAGCAGACCGCGAGACATTTTCCAACCCTGGTAACAGCTCTTTCAGTGACCCCGAACTACTCCTATTCACTCGAGGTGCTATGGTGAAGCTCCCCGGTCTGGAAGAGGGCTCACTTCTGTTCTCCTTGTCACTGTGATGGCTCGAGTTGTGGCCGCTAGTGTTCGGACTCCCTTCTCCATTCTCCAGGCTACTGGTACTGGACCTGTCCTTTGGGTTTGTGTCTGTTTCCTGATACGGGGAACTCTTCTTGCTACTCCCTGGCTGGCAGAGTTCGTTACCGTGTAAGCCTTTCCTGCAGCAAGAGGGAGGGGGTGTGATGTACTTCTCTGGTTCGGGCTCCTTTTTGCCGTTTGACCGCGGCGTGAGAAAGTTCATGATGCTGCCGCTGCCGTTGGTCTGCTTGGAAGACAGTCGACTGTTGGACGGCGTAGCGACTACCACATCGCTGTTGTTCCCCTGAACTGCAGGAGACTGTGGGACAACAAACAACATTTAAATCTTAACATCACCTGTGCACAACCTAAAGATACACAAAACATTTTGCCTTCATTATGTAGTGATAGAAATAGAAGTATGCAAAGCTTCTAGAAGACCATACATGTACTTTCTTTCAACTCTTTCAGCTAGTAAGTACAATGTATTCTTCAAATACTCATGATCAATTTTACAGGTGTATTTGGTAACTTTCTTGGGTATGCTTAGCAATTTTACGGGTAAAATGATCAGTATACAAATAAAATCAATCATACAAATGAAGTTGTGCTGTATTTGGTAAGATTACAAAATATATATAAGACTAAGACTCCAAGTACATGTATATAAGTATACAAGACATAGCTATAGCCAATTACCTTGTGTTGCTATGTAAATTTTGAAGTTATTTTGTCCCTGTTTCGATGTTTCTTAATCTTTGTTATTTGCAATTAGCCTTCAGGCAGGAATTTGCAATAAATTTATCATAACTCACCCCTATTTCCATGAGTTGTCTGGCCACTTCCTCGTCTTTCCTGATTTTCTCCTCCCTGTCCCTGCGCTGTTGTTCCTCCTCCTCCTGCATATGTTTGATGTACTCCATACTGGCCTTCAGCGCTGCCTCCTCTTCCTTCTTACGCTGCTCTTCAAACTGTCAAGAAAAAGAAAACAAAGACTGTTACGACATTGTACCAGAGTTATCAACCAAGGATTGAGGCGTCCAAGAATTCATTCTTTCCTAGAACTATCGCAGAGTGGAACTCGCTGTCACCAAGTGCAGTAGGGGCATTGTCAATAGATAGCTTTAAACAATGTCTAGAGTTAGATGTTCAAGGGTTGGTGTAACAAGTCGATCAATGTAATGTAGCCAGCTGCCGTTGCGCCGCGTGCCAGCAAAGCTGGTGTGTTACGCCGAAAGGCGGTTATACTGGCTATACAGATACAGATAGCCTACCCCCAACATTTGTGTGGGGTCGTGTGGCATAGCAATAGCGTGTTCGGCCTCGCTTCAGAAAGAAAATGAGAACCTAGAGCTTTGGTTAGGGACATCCCTCGGATAGGACATTAAATTGAAGTTTCATTTTTGGGGAAAGCCACACCCCACGCACGTTAAAGAACACACCACACCTTTCGAAAAAGATTAGGGGCATGCCCCGGTGTGCGATGGTCCAAATACTTATCTGATTAAAATTCACTATTGACTCCAGGAAGAGTAGTGTGAAATTCACACTAATGGAGATCTTAAAACAAACCAACATCTGCTTGGACATAATTATAACCAACTGGGGATTTAGATACTGTAAATCTTGAAATGTTTGTGGTGGTTTTATTTTCACAGAGACCTTTCCACTGTGAATTCATAACACCACAGATTTGCAATTCTGATACATAGCTACTGTAGTACAAAATTGTTTTGACACAAAATTAAAACACTGTGAAAAAAAAAACTTTCACCTCATAGTACCGTGAAAATAAATGAATTTGTAGTATTTTGTACCCAGGGAGGAACTGTCAGCATCATGCACATAATGGATTCTCTAGTACTAGCAGCACAAAATTTGTGGTAAGAATCCAAACTGAAATTTTACATTGAAGGACAAAATCAACAGATAGAGACATTATGAATACTCTAGTAGCACCTCAAAATTTGTGGTAAGAATCCAAACTGAAATGTTGCATAGAAGGACAAAATCAACAGATTTTAGCATGAATGTAAAAATCAATCCGGTAGGTTGACATTGGGTGATTTTCAAAGCCCAAATTCTTGAATTGAAAGAAACAAAAATAACATGTAACATGACCACACAGACATGGTTACAGCATTTCTTGTCCTACTGAAACAATCCAAGCTATACGATGAAACATAATAAATCTAATATCTATACTAGGGCATTTGGGGGACATATTCTCAAGGCAGGTATCAATTTTCAACAGTTGTTTTTACAAAGCAAACCTACATTTTGTACTTAACCAACTCAGCTCTTGATCATGACTTTCCCAATCTAAAAATTCTTCATACTGTGTGGCAGAACTGTAAATACACACAACTGAAGTAGGTCTGGCCACAGGATTGTGGCAGGTCTGAGCATGCATGATCCTCATGCCCTGGAGCAAACACTACACTACTGGTGGTGCCACATGTTTACACAACTCTACCCTTCAACACAGGGTACGCTAAGGTCCCACTCAGCCATAAAACATCACGTCCACTTCACAGTAAATTACACACTACAACAGGCATTACCACAAACAATTCCTCTAACCATACAAGGTTAGAAATCTACGCAAATGACCATGTTTACACTAAAAGAAGGGTACGCTATGCCAGCCTCGGGATATAATTAGCCCATAGAGACAAACAACGTTAGATTATTAGGAGACATTAGTACTCACAAATTGTGCCACCTTCCAGGCCTCTATTTCTTCTTCCCCACGCAAACTAACCTCTGAAGACTTTCAGTTTTAGGAGATTTTCAGGAACTAGGAGATTTGGGGTTACGATTGGACATTTTACAAGTCACAATCCTCCCTTACTTGGAAGCTCAGGGCTTATGCTTGAATGGGCCTGCGTATATAGTGACCTCAGGAGTGACTCCACCTTCTTATGAATATGCTAATAAGGGGGTGTGTTCCTCATATTTCCTGTGTCAGACCAAGACTGCACTGGCCCAACTGTTTACTGAAAGGAAAAGTGAATCAAGACTGACTGAGGATTAAATACAATTGCCTTAAAATGAAAATATCTGATTATAATTACAAGCAACCAATGCATGCATGAGTGTATACATGTAGTTGTCACATGCCCCTTTTCTCTATATCCAAGCCAGCCCACTGTAAAGTCATAAATTTCTACCAGATGCGGACCACAAGAAACCAAGGAGGGTATGCCTATATTGAAGAAAAAAAACCAAAGCTACCGGTATATTCTCCCCACAAAGTCATAATGCACACTGGACACAGTAAAATAAACAGAGCTGTTTTGAAATAGGCTGTTTTAGAAGAAATTTACTACCGGTATTAGCCTCCATAGCAGGCTTATAGAACTTGGGGTTTGGTGGTCTTCGGCTGTTTCCTGATTAGCCCAGTTCTAAAAAGGGGGGTAATTCAACCAGGCCGGCTATGTTGTCTATATGCAATCAGAAAATAGCACACAAAAGATCCCAAAGACCCCCAAAACCCCCACTTTTTGACATGCTATATTGGAGGCTATACTGGTATGTGGTTTGGAAAAATCTTTGCAAACATGAAACCATAACCCTATTTACTTATTCAACTTGTAACCACACTTTGGAATGTTTATTCAGTGTGTAAAGCAAGATGGTGCCAAAGTGCCCACAGAACAAATCACATCTGCATTTGTTACCTATCACTTTTCAAAGGCAATGCCTTGTCACAATGCCAACAATGCCAAGGTGCCCTGCCAGCAACTTGGACCTTTGCCAAAAAATCCCTGACTAAAAAAAATTGTTTACTTCTTTTCAAACTTCTCTGCAAAAACTCACCCCAACTTTTTGAGGTGTACCTTTGAGAACATGGTTGACGTTTTTGCCACAAAACTTTCAAAGTATTTTCTTCAAAATCAAGCAGCTATGCAAAACATATACTCTAGAAAAACAAGTACTTAAAGGCCTACTCAAGGGTAACTAGAGATGACATGACTCGGATTGATAGCCAATGGGAAGAAAGCCAAGTCAAAGGTCAGGAACAGGTCTTGTCTGGTACACACGTGTGATTGGATAAACTGTAAATTCATTTATTTTCGACCGGGACTTAATTTTGTTAATGGGGGGAAAGGAGGTTATCACAGTATTTTAAGTTTGTGTTGAAAAAAAAATCTTATAGTAATACATTGGAAACACATATTAACAGTGTCAAAAATTCATGGTGGCTAAATCTGAAAAATAAAACCACCATAAACGTTTGAATATTTACGGTAACACTCAGGCAGTACCACTTTGGCAACAACTGTAAGTCCACCTATAGTACAGTCCTGTATAGGCCCAAAGGTTTGGAAGCAGTCCAAATCTAGCCACCAAAACATTTTAGGTGTTGGTGTCAGGGCCTTTACTGACAGCAAGCAAGGGATCAACCAAAAATAATTGTGGAAGGGATACTCATAGTGAGTAAGGCCTGGGAAAAACATGTTGTGTTTCTTGTTTCTCAACCGATCCTAGAAAAAACTGCCGACCCTAGACTTTTTGGGGGTGGCCCCCTTTGAAAGGGACATAGATTTTCAAGCTGAGGCCACACCAATTTAATTTCTTGGTTAACGGATTCGCCTGCTTCATTTTTATTTGATTTGCAAAAAAAAAAAAAAATTTCAGAATCAACTGCAAAATGCTCATATTTTGCCCTGAACAGCTGAAAACAGTCCTTTTCTTCCTATAGCTAGTTGCTACAGTTATTCCATCTTTCAATGCAGTGGTATCATTAAAAGTTCAATTTTGAACCAGCCTGGTGTGTTGACTTCGTGGCTCCTATCGTACCATTTTGGGCCATAATAGGATGCCTAGGCCTGTTTCTATTTCTATTTTTTCTTCGCCCGCCCGCTCCATTATTTTTCTAGAAAAATCCGTTAACCAAGAAATTAAATTGGTGTGGCCTGATCGACCATTTCTAGCTCCATGATCTGACACCTGAGTGATAAAACATTGTGCAATCGGTTTTCCAACATTGACATTGAAAATATAAGTGTCCTCTCATGTAAGTTTTACTTTGATGAACTGTATTGTATAAGTTGAATCACTAGACTGCAGCCTTCTCAAAACAAGCCGGCTACCGGCGAAAATCGCCGCCTACTCAAATTTTTGCGCCGGCTACTTTCGTCAAATTTTTGCGCCGGCTACTTTCGTCTAAATTTTCAGAAAAACAAGTAAGCTCCGTTACATTTTCTCACAAACTTCACCGGCTCATTTCTTCTGACGAACTTCAGACAAATTTCTGCTAGCTTTCTGGATCTGAAAACTGCTTCTTTCTTAGCCTCCTGTGCAGATTTCTAGTGCACGAGTCAGCGTTTGCTTCTACGAGCGGCCCGCGGCCGGCCAGAGCGGCCGAAACTTTACGGGGGGAGGGTCTTGTTCGGGGCTCGAGTTGTATCCGCGGAGCTGTATCGCTCGAGCTAGGCGGAACTTGCTTCGTAAACTCGTTGCTCACGAAAATTTATCAAGCCGCTACCTTCCCAACTTCTCCCGGCATTAGTAACATTCCTGCTACAAATAACTAGTACAAATCACGTCAAAAAATATCAAGACATGTATAGAAGCGTGTTCATATCTGTCATACACAGAGACAAATTTTCAAAAACAAATCGCCATCAGCGAGATTTCACAGCTGTTTCATTCATCAAAAGTTCTTGTCGATCGTAAAATGATCACTCATCTGTTGTCTCCACCAGTGTGTCATTTGTAGCGTAATCACGGCTAGCCAAAAATCAGCGTCAAACATGCACACTCCGCATCGCTGTATACAAAAACAGGAGCTTTCAGGCGCCATCTTGTCATGAATATTAAGTAGCAGCGTGCCATCGACGCTCTGATTGGTTCACCTCACATGACCTGCGTTCTGATTGGATAAGCGATGTGGCCAGCAGCCGGCAGCGCGGGAAGATTTTTCTTCGCCGGTGAAGAAGAGAGACACATTTACGCTGCTTTCTACGTTTTTTCTACGACTACTAAGCAACATCCTATTAAAGAAATACATAATTAAAAGAATTTTCGGGAAGATGTATATTTCTCTACGCCGATTTTTGGCCATTTTCTCGTAATTTTCTTGTTCAAGGAACCCGGAAGTCAGTGTACCGGGACGCGGGGTGAATTTCCATAGGGCATTTATGGATCGCACCCGTACCCTCCCCCCGCGAGCCGCTGCGTGGCTCGCTTCGAGCCACTTCGTGGCTCGCCTGCTACTTTTTCTTATCAGCCACCTACTCTAAATTTTTTTGAGAAGGCTGTCTTAGAGGTCGCCAAAGTCTAGGCCTAAACAACTTATTTCAGTGAAAAAAATAGAAGTTTTGATACCTTTTTCATCTGTTCCTCATACTCTTTTCTGAGTTCTCCTGGTTGTGACACTACAGGGAAGTTGGTGATTTGTGAATCTGTAAGATAGAAATGACAATGAAATTAAAATTTACTGGATCCTGTGCAACATTTCTAACACTGTAACAGAACAGTATGCGGTAAAGCGAGCTAAAAATAGAAAACAGATACTCAGTACATACATACATTTAACAATATTCAACAGCACAAAATACCATCAACAAGGAGGTCTAAAAAGACAACATTTTTTTTAATTTTTATACACATAATATTTATTGAGTATTGGGCAAAAAGCACAAGTTGCTTATATAACACCTTCTACTCAAAACATAAAACGAGTGTATAACCATGGAGGTTTCTACCTCCATGGTATAACAGTTATTATTAACACATTGACAAAATACATGCATAATTACAACAAGGTGGATAAAACCAAGATAAATACAAACAAGACAAGTTGGTGATCTATCAATTACGAGAATCTACCTGTACAGTAGATGAAGTTTTGAACTACATCAAAAACATTACAGTTTTGTAGACAACGTGATGGTTGAAACTTTTCCCATAATTTTTACAGGCAGTAGAAATTTTGTATGTAAATACAGGAGCTTGTGCTTTGGGTCCTGCCCAAATATGGAAGTGAAAGAAAGCCCTCCCCTATATTTACGGCTCTGATGCCAAATATGGTAATAGCCAGGTGCATTGTGGGAAGTCTGTAAACCTACTGTACATGGCCACCATTTTTACAGAGACTACTAGAGACTACAGCTACAATGCTCACAGGTTAGCATTCATATCTTGTTTTCTGATAAATGATGTAAATCACTGGATATATGAAATAGTTCTTCTTTAGGTTTATTACAAGGATATCATTACGTATTGGGTATGGAAGAGGTTGCAGCTAAGATTACATTTACAGGACTGTAACTAAAACATGGTTGTTGGGTTTACATCATAAATGTTCATGGTGTTCTTTACAGGCATTCACTATTCTGTTTCTCTTTCAGTTTGTAGTTTTTCTTTCTTGCTGGTTACCAAACTAAGGTAGTCTAAAATGATTGCTGAGACCTGGCCTACTGTAATAATACGACACACAAAGGTGTAATTTGGCAGACATGTGGTGATACATTTACATGAGGGCCTGCATGCCCTATTTTGTAAGGCGTAATCAGGCCTTTTTAAGTCTTCGTAATCCGTAGGCAGTCACCCAAATCAACCCACTAGTAATTCGTAATCAGTACATTAGCCATAGCACGTAATTGATCATTTTCATTCTACCTAAAGCGTAGTTACCTTTATGCAACGTAAAATGTAATCCATGAAAGTATTCCATGATTTCATGTACATGTAATTTGTAATCAGCTCTGAGAATTTAACGTAATTTGTAATCAGTGGTGAAAATTTTGCATAATTCGTAATCACTAGCCCCCTGTCAAATGCAGGCCCTTGTACATATGTAAGTCATGTATGTAAACTACTGTAAGTCTCTTTAGATTCGCGGGGCCTAAAGTTCGCGGTTTCGGGAAAATGGACAATCCGCGGTATTTTTAGATTCGCGATATCTCCTTGGCTATTTTTCAAAGAAAAATTTGTAAAGTGTATATTTAAAATAATAAAAGTTCGTGTTCCGGCATTTATATCCTAAAGCGCGGCGCAAAAATTTGTTTCGTGCACCGCGCGAGACTGCCGGCGGTATAGCTGACGATCGATCTGACGCACGTGTAAACAATTTTCTTTGTTCGGAAATAAGCGCTAAAACGCTATTTTCCACGACTACACATCGATACTCTAGTGAAGAAATGCATAATCGAAAGAATCTTTCGGGAAAATATATATTACTAAGAATATTTATGCCGTCTTCGGCGAGATTTTGAACCCGGAAGTATGCAAAGGTCGCCTACGGTTTTGTAGCGGCCCACGGTAGCGTTTCTATCCAGCAAAACAAGAAAAAAAAACGCCCGCAAAGCAGGGCGCAAAAGAGAATCAACTAACACTTCCCAGGTACCAGCAGTTATATTTTTCATCAAAATATTTGTAGATATGCCCGATGTGCCCGCAATTTTCAAGCGCCCGGGCGCGCATGGCCGGCGCTCAGCACACAGAGATTTTTGTCCGGCGGTGTACGTTTGACACGGCCAGTGCCGAAGTATCACGATTCGGTGTCTCATAATATTATAATTTTTTGACATCAGTATAACTGAAAAAAAATTTGGTACTCAACATACGTACATTTTCTAAGAATGGAGTTGATTTGCAGTGATTTGTGTTTGTTGCGTGTGTTTGTGTTTCTGAACTTACCGTCGTGAAAGCATGTGGGGAGGGGGGCGCACCTACGCCAAACATATTCGCGGGGAAATAGATTCGCGGCACAAAGGTCCCCGCGAATTCCGCGAATCTAAATATACCGCGGAAATTTGTAGACTTACAGTAACTGTTCATTTTCTTCTAGTTCCTGCACATGTATAGAGATGGCTGGAGTGTTACAAGACAATGCAGTCATGGCTAAAGGTAAACATCTTGAGTTGACCCACTTTTCTATCTCAATCTCTAGAATACCATGATTATAGGCCATAATCTTATTATGCTACCAAGGGCATTTAAACATTATTTATCTATGTGTCAAAAAACACCGGGCTCCAGTTTATTATATGTTATTCAACCTCTAATTCTACAATTTACAGTCGGTGAATTTCTGTGAATGCACAAATTACATACCAGTATTATGTTTCAGTTTTTCTGCAATATGCAATTTTAAAAATGCAAAGCCTGCATTTTTTTGGCTTGCAAAGTTGCAAGTTCTCTTAAAATATTAAAATATTCCCCCTGCAATTTAAAATTTTTTATGCATATTGTGTGTGTTGACAAGCTATATACATGTATGTATAAATCAATCTATTTCTTGCCCTAACCAGCTGAAGCCATCAAGCTTGAAGTAGGAGCTATCTTCCACTCCTATCCTGACATAGAATTCGCCATCAACGACTACCAGCTGCGGAATTTTGTACAGCTGTACATCAGGGACTCTCGGACCATCTGTGGCACCCGGCGCGCCAAAATAAAGAGCTTCAACCCCAAGCTCAAGTATTCCGAGATCACCTTCGCCTGTGTTCACGGCGGGCGAAAGTATAAATCTCACTCCCTTGGCGCCCGACCCAACCAGAAGTAAGTATCAACTAGAAGAGTAACATTTGCAAAGCAAATGCATAATGTTAACCTTCGCTGGTAATTCTTACTCAAACACATTCACATATAATATATGGTGACAGGAGTCTAAATCCCTCCTACTATAAAATTGCAACATTATGTAACCCAATACTGGTTACCATGGTGAGAGACAGTCTGGTTCAGTCAGGTCAGAGAGCGCTGTTTGGAGAAGAAGAAAGGCAGAAAAACAATACGTTTTCCTTCGGTAAACATAACTACATGTAAATGATAAAATTTTATGGATCCAAGGCAGGGGTTCGAATCCTAGTCCTCTTGACCACTGTACTGGCATGGTATTAGTGTCTAGGTTTGCATTTGTCAAATATGTATTTATTAAGAAATGTTTAATGTTTAAAAAACTTGAATAAATGTGATACTTTAATTGGTATAATCAAAAGCCTGTTAGAAGTTCTATGCTTGACAACTTGTGACTAATTCAGTTTTGATGACATTTTTTTTTTCTTTTCCCTTTTTCTCCTCTCATATTCAGGACTTTCTTGATGGACTGTCCAGTGAGTCTTAAGTTTAGAGTGTCGCCCGATGGCCAGACGTTGATTGTCAAGTCGTTTCACGAGCAGCACAACCACAGTGTAAGCCAGGTATGAAAACACAGTACTTCCTGTGTTACAGCCTTATTGTTTAAGACCAAATGCCACCAAAAAAAAAGTCTGTAAAATACATACAATATCGGAAGTGCACATACAATATAGTCACTTGAAGTTTGTTCCAATCATGATGACTGAGAAATTGAGCTTGTACGGCCTTCTAAAAGTGGATTTTAGAGACTCTGGCAAGTTTCCCAATTGCCCACTTCGGGCATCTCTATTTGCATCCCTGTGTTTCATTTTTACATTTCTCTGCTTTTTCCTGAGCTGACATCACTGGATGACGTCAGCTCAGGAAAAAAATACAGACATGCAAAAATAAAATGTAGAGATGCAAATCGCCTGCCAGTACTGGCTTGTGCTGACTTTTCCAAGGCAAGGCATTAGAATTTCGAATGTAACAGGAGGACCGTGCATATTTATTGTAAATATGTCTGTTAGCCAGGTAATACTAGTTATGTCAATTACAATCAGCTAAGGTCATATTTTGGTGTCATGAGCACTTTAAGCCAGTTAAAAGGCAGTGCAGGGCCCTATATATCACAGTATAGGGGGCTCAAATCACACTATGATTGCTGTCTAGAAATTAGTGCTAAAATTCATTGCGAATTTCATGTTTTTGTCTTGGACTGCAGGCCTCCTTCATGAGTCTGCCCCAGCGTGGTAGGAACAAATTCAAACCTTCTGTACCGGTGCTACTCAACAACTTCGGAACCAGAGATTGCGAACCAGAACCCGCACAAGCGACCAAACCTACGCCGCCTGTGGACATCGGAAAGCTGGTGGAGACAATGAATAAAATCCCTGGTGTGTTGGAATAATTCTCTTTCACACTTCACCATCCACCATCTTGGCAAGATTGTCAAACTCGTGAAATTTATTACTTTTCAGAGACTTAATTTTGCAGTAGAAGACAGGAAAGTATATATGTAATACGAAAACTGTACAGATATGTTATAACTTATATTTACCAAATAAAAACATATTGTTTCCTCTTCTTCTCCAAACCAAAAAGGTCAATGACCTGAACCGGACTGTCTGTTACCATGGTAACTAGTGTTGCGTTACATCATGTTGCAATTTTATAGCAGGAGGGATTTAGACTCCAGTCTGACCATATATATGAACGTAACATGTTTGAGTAAGAGTTAACAGAGCAGGTCATATGTAAAGGTAATCATTATGCATTTGCTAAATGCAAATGTCACCTTTCTAGTCAGTTTATAGTTCATCTTAGACTTGCAGGAAAGCTAGCAATGATGATTAGCCTTGAATATGAAAAGCTCAGAACAAAGACATATTTTCTTTTATTTTCAGGAGCAACCATCAAGACATCGAGCTTAGGACACAACGGCACCCACAGTATATGCATGGTCAGCATCTTCTTCCAGACACCCCACATGAGAGACCTGTTCCACGCCTTCCCAGAGGTGCTCCTGATCGATGCCACCATGAAACACAACGAAACCGGCATACCTCTCTACCTACTGATGATCCTTGATAGCAATGGTGAGGTTCATATCGCAGGATTGTTCCTGGCACTATCTGAGCTCGGTGCTACAATGCTGCACCTCATTTCTTCCTTCAAAGCCAGTAACCCAAACCACACAAAGATCGAGTGCATCGTGGCGGATGTGGTTTTGCCCCACCGAGAGCTTCTCTCAAAGAACTTTCCAAACGTGATCATGTCTATTTCTGACTCGCAAACCTTGAGGGCGTTTCGGCGCGACGTGTCCACAGAGAAGCTGGGGATATCGCCCGACCAGAAAACCGCATGCCTACAAACAATGGAGAAGATGGTATCCGCCCAGAGTAAAGAAGAGTACGACGAGTACTACAACATTCTCCAGTTCTTGGACGTTCCTCAGGTGCTAGCATACTTCAACGACAACTGGCACGGGAAGAGGGAGGAGTGGGTGACCGGCCTTCGCAGCGAGCACAAGTACTTTGTCAGCACGGCCACCAAACACTTGGAAACAACCATCCAGAAAGTTAAAAACGTCATCAAGAAGAGTTACGACATCCCAGCTTTCTTCTCCGATGTCATGAAGTGTATAGATTCTCTCGCGCTGGAAAAGGGTCAGAAGGTGCTCGAAATGGTCCAAAAGGTCAAGCTGATACCCCTGTCTCAAGAAGCAGGCTCGGCTGAGGAGCAATACGACCGTTTGCTCACTCCACACGCACTTGACCTTGTGAAGCAGCAGCTACAACTGGCCCTGTCCATCACAGTGATCAGGAACGTCAAGCCACAAGGCATGCTGCAAGTAAAGGCAGAGACGTGTCCCTGCAGCTTCTTCAAAGTCCTGAAGCTACCCTGCCGACACCTCTTCGCTGCACGGCGAGGAAAAGGCTTGGGCGAGTTCGACCCGACTCTCTGTTTCAAGAGGTGGACTCGCCAGTACTATCTAGACCACTGTGGCATGGTTAGACCTCAGCTTGCGAGTACACCAGTGGACCAGTTGGGTGATCCGCCGGCGTGTCTGGATGCATCACAACAAGAGCAGTACAGTAAGGCTGTCCACCTAGCGCGGAGGTTGGCACTGGCAGCAGCAAGGCTCCCCCATCACGAGTACGTCCAGGCAGTGTCCTGTTTGGAGACGGTGGCTTCAGCATGGGAGAGGCAAGAGCAAGTGATGGTGGCATGTGTGGACCCTGCTCCTTATAACGGTAACTGTCTAAAGACACGGTTTTGTTATGTTTACTGAAGGAAAACATATTGTTTTTGCTCAGTTTCCTTCTCTTCTTCTCCAAACCAATGAATAAAGTCAATGACTTGAACCAGAAGTCTATCACCAAGGTAACTAGTGTTGGGGTACATCATGTTGCAATTTTACAGCAGGATGGATTTAGACAGTAGCAACCATATGCAAAGGTAAATAATGCCTTGCAAATGTTACCTTTCTAGTTTAACTTTGAGTAAATTTTTTACATTAACAAATTTATGACATACAAATTGATGTTTCAAGATTATTGATATGACTGTGCTTGTGTATCATTTGCAGGGACTGGTACCAGCCAATCAAGTACAAGTGTTCTGGAGGGTACAGAGGATGATGGCAGTTGTCAACCCCCAGAGAAGAAAATGTGCCATTGAATGATTGAGCGATCACTTTCCCATCAGTGACAGTTATAATGTACTTTCCTATACCAGTACATGGCCATACCTCCTTTGGGCATTAGCACAGTATTATACTACATGTAGTATACAATCTGTTTCATAATAAAGTGTTACGAAAGGTCAATGTAACAATACATGTATTAATAGTATTATCATTACTACATACTTGTAGTGTAGTTGTACATATTATAACTAAAACTTTAGCATGATTAGTAACTCAAAAAACTGTTGCAATGATCCAGGTCATTCCAGGAAGCCATTTTAAATTTTCAAACAAGCATCTTTGAGAAAAAGTGTTATCGATAAAATCGGCAAACTTTTCTGTGACATTTGTAAAAGTTACTAAAATAACTAAAAGTAACACATGTACTACCTGGATGATGTAGTTAACATTATATACTAGTAATTTGCAGACACTGGTTGGTGCATAATAATAAAGCATTTAATACAATCAAGTGTTTTATGCCTTCACTACTTCTTGTGGCAATGCAACTTGCTTGAAATACTGGGTGCATGTGCACCTTAGTGCACCTAAAATTAGAGCTGTGCACCTAATTTTTTTCTGTGGGTGCAGGTGCACCCAAATATTTTTGTAGGAATTTTTAACATTAGAAATGTATAATAGTATACCAGATATTCTTGGTCTAAGTAAGTATAACAAAAAAATAATATAATCTTTGTTGTAGTACTCGTTTAAGATTTTGAAGTTAGCTCTCATTTTAGATTTAAGCTCAGAAGAGGAGCAGTAAGACCTGCAATTAGGTTTTGTTTTATATGGTGCACCCAAAAAATTACACCAGTGCACCTATTCCCAAAAATGAATTTCGAGCCCTGCAATGACTATGTGTTGCCTTGGCAACGGATAAGGTATCCATTGTTTTACCACAGTTGACAGACACAATTTGACACTATGACAAATCGCTATGACAACAGTCTCATATATTTAAATTATTTAAACAAACACATAAAAAGTTTAGGAGTAAGTTAAACAACAACCCCAGCTTCTGCAGTCTGTCTACAAATCTGTATTTTTTTTTCAAATCATAGTTTTTACCAAAGATATGTCATGCTGGTGGATACTCATATGATTTTATTGCAGGAAAGTTTGTCAGAAATTTGCAAAGAAACTTTAGACAGAAAAGTAGTACTGTCAGCAAGGAAATTCAGCGCTCACTGAATTGATAGTGATGTCTACATAAAATTTGTGGGGAAAACTATGACACACACCGGCCTAGTAAAAACATATCACAGTTTACTGTGTTGATTCTGCCCAGCAAGGAGGCGTGTACAGGCCTGTTTTCCCCATCTGGCGTTGATAAAAAAAACTACAAAACAAACATTTTATCTCACCTTCGTCGCTCAGCTCGTCCAGTGCATCATTCTCCTCGCCCCGAAGTCTTCTCTGACACTTTTCTGAGTAAAACCGCTGAATCTGAGCCCATCTTTCCTGGTTGACAAGCGTGTGTTCCCGCGCGTTCTTCCGAGCCCAACTTGAGATACGCAGCCGACACATCGGACAGACGAAGTTTGCCTCCCCGTTCTGGACGTTCTCTTGGAAGCACGGCATACACAGCTCGTGCGAGCACGGCATGGTGACCGGCTCCACCAGGATTTCCATACAAATCGGGCATATCACCTCAGATAGGGCCGGTTTCTGTGAATAATCCACCGTTTGGGACGACTTTCGCTTCGGTGGCGCCATTTTTTCGTGAAAGAAAATCAAACTCTCGTTCAACTCTCGCGGTGGGGAAATCTCGCGAGACCATTGTGAGGGTCAATTGTAGTTTTTCGTAACGCTTGTCCATAAATTATCACCAATAAAATGGTCAAGTGGAATATTAACAGGCAACTATTACATCAATGCATGAGTACTAGAATGAAAGAGATAGAATGCGTAGTATACAATTTTGCAAAAACATTCCCAGCTTGCCTTTGTTTCAGAAAACGTGGCAGAATGGTCACATACAGAGTCCCGAAATAAGAAAACATGGCGCACATGAGTTTGAATTCGTATCTTCAGCAGGTATCGTACTATATCCCGTTTTATTCTCACGACCAAGTCTTATAATTATCAGGAGTCACATAGACATATGATTTACCATTATGTGTATAATTTTGCCACAATGAAGAGCACATTGGGTAAATTTAGATTGAAAATGCTGGGGTTGTGATGCATGGGGAGGGGGGCGATCATACATAATATTTGTAATAAATTTTGTACATTGTATATATTGGAAAAGAAAATTCATGACCTGCCCAAATTTCGCAAGGGTACCGAAGTAACGGGTTCCTCACTGGCCGCCCAGTGCGGAACTCACGGGGAAAGTGGCGTCGACACTCGGGGCCCTGTGCGGAAGAAAGCTCCGCACTGGAATTCTAGTACAGAAACGGCTTTGTTCCAGTGCTGAAACACCGTTTGCCAGAGCTCGGAGGCCGTTCAGCACTGGATAGCCAGCGCTTGGAGGCCGTTCACCACTGGATAGCCAGTGTTGAATTCCACTCAGCACTCGCTTGCCAGTGCTCGGAGGCCGTTCACCACTGGATAGCAAGTGCCGAAGTCCCTAAGTAACGGATTCCTCACTGGATCGTTCCAGTGCCCCGTGACTCTTGGTGCTGGAAGCCGAGTTCTCAAATCATTTCGGCACTGGGCCTCTGGTGCTTACGTCACCCGCGTGCGGCGTACAGTATATTATCGTAGGCCAAGTCTATGTCTGTAAAAATGTGAGGATCTGAGCCTTGCAGTATTGTCCTGCCGATCACCTTGTCGTCCCGATTATACTTTGCTTCCCGGGCGGTATGATCTCAAAAATATAAGTGTTACTGTTAGAGTTCAAAGGCGGCATCTCAGTACCCTTTCTAAAGACAAGGTTTGATTTGCCGATTTAGAGTTTCCAGTGCTGAAGCTGCCGACACTGGACACCAAGTGTTGACGTAACTTCGGCACTGGAGATCTAGGACGGAAGCCGCCTCACCTCTGCATACCGAGTGCTGAGAAAGGAACCCGTTACTTCGGTACTTTTGCCCAAATTTCCATCAAAACAGCATCAGTCTTGAGTCTTGACTCAAAACGCTAGTTTATGCAGATAAAACACATGGCTCGGTCAGCACAGTATGAACATTTTGTATCCCCCCTGGGCCTCCTTGGAAATCAGCTTTTGGCTGAAAGAGCTACCCAGGTGTCATTGAAGATTAAAATAAGTAAATAAAAACATGTCCAGAGAGTTTATAGTGTCCCCCGTCATTTATTTGTGAGGCCCTGGTGTATATGTGGCATCTTTTACTCCTCTTGTCCCAAACTCTTTGTGCTGTTTGAAATTACTTCAGAATGAATATGAATTCCACCAACACACATCAAGAACAATGTATTAGATAATACAATGTCCTTTTGCACGGATGAACTTTTATGACACCTGCTTATATCTGTGTGTACATGTAGGTTGACAGGTCCATCAACAACTGTGATGGCTCAGTACTGGCAGATCTGCTGTCCTTCAGACATCCTCACATAGCCAACACAAGACTTCAGGTAGGGGCATCAGGACCAACAATATGTATACTACGTAGTAATAGTACTTGCACAGTTGCAAATCTGTTGTCAGTCTAAAATTAAAAGAAGCAAAAGTTAGTAAGTAATACATTGTTCACATATGATAAATCTGACACATACAGATAGAACACCCAGAGCAACAGTGTGAGCAGTTCTTTGAGCAGCCATGGGATGAACTACTGGCAGCTCACATAAGGTACGTATTCTTCTTATTCACTAAAATTCATTTTTGCTTCCAAAGACATACTAGTATTATGTTCCAGGTGTGCTGTGAATGTACACTTACAACTTGCAAACTTTAACTACATGTGTGTGTGTGGTTGGAACTATCTTGTCCTGTGAATCTTGTGTATACATTTACAGAAGATAACACGTCGGCAGAATCACCGCACCTGCACAAACCCCCCATTTTTCACAATTTTTGTTGGATTTTTTGTCAATGTTGCATGAGAATTTTTTCTGTTGCAGACAATATTTTTTCTGACATGACATTTGGAAACAACAGACAGACCTTATATGCCTGAATATGACCTTAGATGAGATGTTCTGGCAAAGTGCTATGCACAATACTTTATGGGTTTCGTGAAGGTGCAGTACGTATACATTGTTACAATAACATTGTTACTAAGAGAGTACTGTTGTTTTTTTCACAGATGTATTTGGGCAGTTGGGAACCATGACTTTGTGGAAGCATACGGCTGCCAGACCGTGGTGGTTCAGTCTCTCATCAAGGCCATCCAGAGCCACAGGGACGACAACTGGTTAGTGTGCCTTAAAGTAACATTTGTATGATACTCTGCATTTACCTTGTACATTCAACAGTGTTCTAGCAAGGATTTTTTTCATAGCATAGGGGTCAGGTACAGAAGAGCAACTTTTGCGGCGCAAATCGGGCATTGACCTGAAAAATTTTGAAACTCATAACCCCCTGAGACACTATTTCTTGTTAAGTGTGGAACAGATTTTGTGAAGTTAAGGTTTTCCCTTTGCTATAGCTTCATTCTACAGTTATATTTTCATTTTTGGCAAGGTTTATATATTATAGACGTTCTCCCTCCCAAAACACCCCTACAATGAAACTTAGCGTGGGGGTCACAATTATAGCATAGGGCTCAAAATCATAACATAGGGGTCAAAATTATGGCATAGGGGGCCCCTATGCTAAAAAGGCCTGGCTAGAACACTGATCATTGTATTTACTTACACTACTGTAGAAAGCTGGTATGTTGTGCCTTAAGGTGGTTTGCAAGTTATGGGATTCACATACATGGATGTAACATGTGTACTACCAACTCTCTCCTTACAGGGCCCTCCCAGTGATGTATACTGTAGCCCTGGACCTGAGACTGTAGATACAACCAGCTTACAACAGACCTTTACATACATGACATCTTACATCTCCCCACTACAGGGCCCTCCCAGTGATGTATACTGTAGCCCTGGACCTGAGACTGTAGATACAACCAGCTACATGTAACAATAGATCTTTACATACATATATCATATAACATCTTACATCTCCCCACTACAGGGCCCTCCCAGTGATGTATACTGTAGCCCTGGACCTGAGACTGTAGATACAACCAGCTTACAACAGACCTTTACATACATAACATCTTACATCTCCCTTCTACAGGGCCCTCCCAGTGATGTATACTGTAGCCCTGGACCTGAGACTGTTTGCGCTGAGTGCAGATGTACAGCTGGTGAGAAAAGGGAAGGGGAAACCTGGGGAGACACTGGAGAAGGCTGCTGATGTCCTGATGGGGTGTTTCAGGGTGTGTGCCAGTGACAGGTACATGTAGGGTTACACTGTTGTGCTCTATTTGAAATTACAGTGTTAGAAATAGTGCTGTGTACCGGTTCCGGACTTCCGGAATGTTTAGGTTCAAGTAAAAAAAACCTATAAGTCAAGAGGCGATTCCAGACTTATTACAAAAAAAAAACATGTCACATACCCCTTTTCTTCCCAAACCACCTAAAACCTTCCACAGATTGCAAAATCTGTGCTGCAAAATGAAGAAAACATTGCCATCAGGCATTGTCAAGTGTTGGCCTCCATGTTATGTGGCCACAGTTTTGCTCATACATGTACAACATTGCAAGGTTGACAACATGCAATTTTGTATATGCCATGGGTTTAGGTCTGGACTTACGAGTCCGGAACTGAACCTAAACCTCTGGACTTGAATCCAGACCTGAACCTAAATGTGGGTTTAGTTACACAGCACTATCTACCGGTATGTTTAACCTTTTACCCAATGCAAGGAAAACTGCTCTTTTTCAATGATTTAGAAGAAAAGTGTGGTTCTAATTTTTGACTGATATTTTTTTTTACAGCCGATCAGATCTTGATGTGTCCAAGAAGTGGGGAATGCTCAACATTGTCAACCAACTCTTCAAAATATACTTCAAGGTAGACATACATGTATACCTACTAGTGTTTTTAATCACCCCAATCGTTCTTAGAAATATGTCATTAAATCAATTCTACATGTATTTCATAAGAGAAGAGGTTTACTCATTTACTCAATCAATTGTTGTTGAAATCATAATATTCTCACAAGAAGTTTTCTTTGTTTTAGATCAACAAGCATCACTTGTGTAAGCCCCTGATCAGAGCTATAGACAGTTCCAATCTCAAGGATGATTTCACAAAGGCACAACTTGTCACCTACAGGTGAATATTGGCATTTATTATGTAAATATGTTGTACATGATTTGCTAT